GCCCCGAGTTCCTTCGCTGACCCGAGGCTCCATGGTGCTCCCAATACTCCCGAGCTGCTGATGACCTCAGCCGTCCGGCGACGGCTGGCAGCTCTATCCTTTCCATCCTCCTGCTCGCACCCTGGAGCCTCTTTTATCTCCTCTTCCTTGGCAGAGTGATCTTGCGAGTGCTTCCGATCCCTTCAGAGTCGAGGTTACACGATGACGATGGTAATGCGAGAATACGAGACACGAAATAGAAAACCGACCGCTCGGCGCGCTGACATGGCGTGGAATGGCAAGGTGTTGAGTGCACACTCGGCGCCACGCCCCATGCCACGTGGCAATCGATGACGACGGCGCAATCGATGGTGACAGTGCTGCGCGTCGAATAGTATGTGCGCGGTGCCGTGGCAGCCCAGATGTAATGAAGTCGTGGGCTTCACGACAGTCATCACAGAATCACGCCTTGCGCTCAACTCATCTACGGTGGATCTAACAGTGACCAGCACCAACTAACCCTTTATCAAGGAATGTAGGGATGGCTGATTCTTGCCCATCGACCGTCTTACCTCCATTGTCTCATCTCAAGCTCATTGTAGAAGCTTATTGTCAAACTCCAACCTGAAAGTGTTGGGAAACTATGGGCTGAAAGAAATCCCCAACACATGCTTTGAGCTTGAGAAGCCGCGAAGCTTTTTTGCGTAATTGTGTCCAGTGGTATGTCAAAAGGTCTACGTCTCGATGGAGAATTGTTCATCGGAGAGTTTTCTCATGTGTCCTTAGGGGAGGGACCAACTGCACAAACCTCTCCTCTACCAGTTTTTTTTTAGAGTTCCCATCTTTTCGGTTGGAAGGATTCCTGCTTGTTTGTGCTCTTATCACATCATTTGTGAGTTTATCATTACTTTATTCATTTGTGCATGATGCTCCTGAGTAGGCGGTGAGCAAGAAGCGACCCATAGAAAACATACTTATCGACTCGTGCTTCTAATTGCTGAAAATTCTTTGTAATTCACTCCCCTTTCACAGAAAATCTTTGCACAGAGCAGTCGCCAAAAACGTTGCGACCTACCCGGGAGAGCTAAAGGTTCAACTATTTGCAATAGCTACCCTATGGACTTTTTCTGCACGGGAATCAATTCCTATATCATAGCACATCTATGAATGTAGTGGAGGAGAGTTTCCCTTTGAGGTGCAACCTTGGAACAGCAGTACGCCTACAAACAGAAACGAAAATTCAGTCCGGCCCTCGGCTCTTACAGTAATCCGGCCCGTGTTTGGGCTTTGGGCAAGGACACGGGGGTGGGTGGTGGAGTAAGTGTAAGAGCCGAGTGCCGGACTGAATTTTTGTTTTTGTCGCCTACACTCTGTGTATAACTTTGATAAAAAACCAAATATCCAAGTTATCTTACAGGAAAGAAACACTCACTGCGCCGCTGATCTTACACCATTTGAAGGAGAAGAATTGAGGCCGGTTACACAAGAAAGCCAGCAAGACAATGGGGTTGACCACGATTCGAAGGAGTTCAGATTCAGAAGATTTCAAAACCGGGGCAACAACTACGAAGAAATGTTTAGAGGTATGGGACTGGGTCCTCCATCCAAGAAAGAGTCTTCACAAAGGAAAGTTCGAAAAACGCGTCCATCCAAGAAAGAGTCTTCACGAGAGAACTCTCCAGAAATGCTTCCAACTCAATCATCACCATCAAATTCGACTGACGAAGCTTCAAATTCAACAGTGTCAGGAGAAGAACCTAATGGATTACTAACATCGCCAGGAACCCTAGCACAGAAATCATCGGCAGAAGTGGCTACAACCCAATATTCGCCAACAACAAAAGCTAAAACACAGCAGTCATCGAAAAGAATAAGGATAACTCCTAGGCCGACCAAATCAAAAACACGGCCACCAACCTCATCCTCGAGAAGAGAAACCCCATCTCAAAAGACAGTGGGATCGAAGGCATCAGAGAAGTCGACGCAATCCTCAAAAGAAACTGAGACCTCGTCCCCTAGTAGCGTAGCGTCTACGGAAGAAACCGAAGAGCCCGAGACGGATGAGACAGAGACGGATGGAGAATTCGAAACGGATGAGGGAACTGGAGTGAGTTGAGATGAAGTGCCTAGACAGCTCAAAGCTAGCTGGTTGCCTCGGTCCCTATAGTTGGATAATGAAGAGTAGATATCCAGGCCTGTTAAAGAGGGCCAAAATGTCATTCTCTGTGGGTTTCCAGTTGAAAGCAGGTCAATTTAGCAGCAACAAAGAATCTACTCTACATAGTCGTCTATGTAGGGTACTTTTCGCAGCGAGATGAAAAGTGTAATGATAGCGTCCCTCCTAACGGTGGGCTTTACAATTAGTCTGATCAGCCCTCGAGAGTAGAGTAGGGTCTTTCAACTGAACTCGCTTTTGGAATAATCTCGATTCATGGGTCCATTAGGTTCTGAGCCGGTGGGGCACCCTCAACTGTCGTAGATTCCTAGAGTTAATCGTTGGAGTAAATCTTTTCGCTCAAACTTTTAAATTGCTCAACACATGTAGGCACAATGTGGGTAGGGAACTGGTACCGTCCCCTCACCCTTTCTTCCGATTGCCTTATTGATAGTGCCCATTCCCTTAATTCACACTTGTTTCTCTGGGATTCTGAACGGGGGCTAAGCAGAGTGCTCTCACACCTTTATCCCCTGTTTCTTATTCCCAGAGCGCATTGCTTCCCGTACGGTGCTTTAAATTTGCTGAGGCAAGGATTTGAGCACATGCTGGAGATCGTTTAAAAAGTGACAAAAATGAATAGGGTCTTTCCATTCAGGACCACACTCAAGGACTCTTGATCTCCGGCGATGGGGAACACAGCACGCAAATCGGGAGCAAACACATTAAGTATGTAATTTAGACAAATGGATTGGAATCGTATGGAGTCGATCCGTGAGTATGCGTAGGATACTGAATAGGGAGACCTTGACATTCAAGCCACTGATGTTGTAGAAACTCAACTAACATCCAAGAGTAGACCCTTTGATTTCGATTGAAGGCCACGGCGCGTGGAACGAAACAGTCTGGCAGTACTTCACGAACAACTAAAACCAAAATTCAGTCCGTCACTCCGCTATTACGGTAACCACTGCCTTAACCCACCACCTACCTCCGTGTCCAAAGCCCCTTTTCGACGCTTCGTATATGTGACGGGTAAAAACTTACGTGTCAACGCGTGCCGGATTACTGTAAGAGTCGAGTGTCGGACTGAATTTTCGCTCCTGTTTAGGGAGAAACCTTGTATATGGGACGAATGGGAAGTACATCCCAAAATGGGAAGGAATAATGAAATGTTCTTAATCCTCTATTCTCTTACTAGAATTTTCTATCATTTTGAAAAAGGGACGACCTGTGTTGAGCCCAAAACGGCCAGACTAATTGTAACAATAAGTGATAAGTACCTTTTTCTGTGACCACCTAATGTTTTCAGTTATGCCGTCATAGTTCTGCTCCTGTGCGGACTTGTGGTCATATGTCAACTTGGCTTATTGACATTTCTCCTGACCAAGTTCATCATCGCTGTCAAGGATGAAATGATACCGACGGATAAAGAAAAGAAACCCGAGAAACCCAAGAAGGACAAGAAAAAAAAGGAGGCTAAATCCAAAGACAAAAAGAAAAAATCTAGTCCTGCACCACTGCCATCTCCTTCTGGTGAACCAAAGTCTTCCGATGCTGAACAGGAGAAGCCTGAAGCAATCTAATAGTGCAGCTAGGCAGTAAAGAATAGGCACGTGTATCTTTCTACTATAAGCGGCAGTTATGATAACACGAGCAATAAACTGCTGATTATTTACAGATTTTCTACAGTTTGATAAAACATTGTAACCTAAAAGTAACGGCCATCAATAAGTTTAGAAGGTTCAAGTTCATTTTCCAAATTGAGTGTGCCGTAAAGAGTAACTACCCCCATTGATAATAGCATTCGTACGACCCTTGCTTGAGAATGACTGGTTCACCTCGGGCCCCAGGCCCATCTAATGGAAAGCTTCCTGGCCAAAAATCTCCAAAATGGATTCTTCATAAGACATTTCCAGAATCGGCCTCGTCACTTGGATTGCTTATAAACTACTCACAATCAAATTTAGATCCAAGATAAGTATTTGTACCGTAGACCATTCCCATCTACAGACCGCCACCCTGGAGAGTATTGATCACCTGTTCGAAAGAACTCGCTCCATTTGCCTGCCAGTTCGATTGAGGAACAGTAGCGCTTATCATGTACTTGAGGTAGTAAGTTCTCTTTAAGTCCCCATTAGTACTTAATTCACAAACTCCTGTGGAATAACAAGTATTACCTGCCTAGTAGTAGGTAGAAAGAGTTAAGGGAACTCAGAATTTGTATCCTTGCTGATTTTTCTCGCATGCGAAGTTATCCTTCATTTTTACGAATTCTTTAATAAAACATCTATATCAAAACAACACATCAAAACATGACACATGATCATTTCACAGCACTTTCACATCTGAACGTATCCCATACTATCGAGGTCACTCCTCCACAGGAAGAGTAACATCTGGGTTGCTAGACGAAACGTGCAAACGACACCGGCAAGTTCTGGATCTCGAACGCGAGGCGAGTCGATG